AACAATTTTTATCCACATAATCATTGTGATGTAAAAAAACCTAATAGCAAGTAAAGTGATATAAAAAAACTAATAGCAAGTAATGTAAAAGCTAAGTCCGTAAAATAATATATTGAATAATGCGCAGGTCTCTTAATGAGTTACGTCCTCCTCTTGATCTTTTGTAAATGGATTTATCGATAACTCAGTTTGCTTTAGCGATTGCTCCTTTTTTCGACAATAACTTACAACGGATTTATCACGATAATGGAAAGGTGTGGTACATTATTATGATCTATTCAATGGATAATATATCATGTTATCCGCGCATTTAAAATTTATTGCGAACTGTAACATTCCTATCTATTTCTAAAAGATAATAAAAGCGATTCAAAATAAAAAGAGTTTATAATTTGGTTCCAAATTTTCCAGAAATTAAAATTAAAAAATTATATTTTGATCATTTTTACAAATAAAATATAGCGAACATAATATTTATCGATTTGAAACTTTCAATTTAAAAAAAATCTACAAGATTCTGTTAGTAATATACATATATTGTTATTATGACACATACATGAAATAATGCGTATTACTAATAATGAAACTTCATAAATGAAATCGATTTTCTATTCATGTTCATGCTCTTCAAAAGCTACGTCATGCGTATCCATTAGTTCGAGTATTCCTATCAGTGAATCGGAAGATTAATTCTCAGTTACAGGCAATAAGGGCAATGTGCCGGCGATGCCACGAATGATAATGTGAAACACATAGCATAATAACAACGAATAAAAGATACGCAAGATGAATACATAAGACTAGTGAGCTTAAGCTTCCCACGCCACACCTTTCGCTACAAGAGCTATTTTGAAATCTGATGTAATAATACTCAATGATAATAAAAATACACAATGTTAGATAAAATTATTGTCCATCCATTACTTCTTTAGCTGCATTCGATATTTTTCCACGTAATAGTTTCCCACTACGACATTCTCATCGAATACACCTCAACTTTCGTCTTCCACTTCATCACTCACGCAGAATAAGAAAATAAACTTTAATTTAAAATATTATAAACCTAAACACAAAATTTTGATATATTTTATTAATTTAGCCTTAATATTAATGGTGAAAATTTATAAGGAACAGCACTTATAATATTTCAATGTTTTATAATTCAATACAATAAAAAAAAAATTAATTAAAAATTAGATTTAAATTATACCTAAAAATGTGTAAACAATTAATTAGATCTTATTATTTAAGACTTAAAAATTCTTTATTTTCAATTGTAGCTAAAAACTATTGACAAAGATTTCGTGATATTTAGCAAATTAATTTCAGATTGATCAAAACATCTATAATTAATTAGTGGAATTTTCTGGGATTCTCTGTATACATTAAGATGTTCCTCGAATCGATCGCCATAATTTAATATTTCCAGTAAACTAACAATAAAATGTTTTTGACAAAAGTTAATTAATTTAGTATTATAGTTTAATTAATTTATAATAAAAAATTGCATTAAAAAAATTTTTTTAATTTGTCTTTTATATACAATAAAAATATGGAAAGAAAACTATATGGTTCGCTTTAAAAAAATTTGATTTTTATTTTTTATTAAAAAATGAACAAATTTTAAATTTTTCGTATGAAATTAATTCTTTATTAGAAACTAACAAACTTTTGTTAAAAACATTTTGTTAAATCAAAAACATCTAAAAAATTATGGCGATAGTGTGGAGGAACACTCTGTATATCAAAATCAAACTAAAAGTGTCTCGAATGTGATAGAACACATTAATATGACAATCTCGAGGTAATTATTCACATGTGCGACAATCCCCACGTGATTACACGTCCTTTCCTTTTTACGTAATCGCGGCATATATCTTTTATATACGGGATATAACGCACTTGTGTTAATAGCACATTGCTTTAAACATTAAATTGATGCGCTTACACGTCTCTCAGAAGATTGTAATGCAATTTGTGAAAATTCAATTTTATGATAACTGATATTTGCTTATACATGTTTTTATTGATTAATTATAGCAGAGAAACAGGAAGACTTCATTAATGCTGACAAGTGTAATTTCATGATATACTTCAATTTATTATGTATACATACGTCTTCTCATAACTTTTCTTATAAAACACTTTAATTCTCGTCATTTCATGCCCATCTTTAAGATTAACTGCAGTAATTTATTCTTGTCGAAAAACAGCGATCCAATTTGATTTTATTCATTTTCAAATTTCTTTTCCTCTTGCTTTCATGCTCATTACTTTTTATATGCATCTTCAAATTCAATCGTGTTGCGTAACGTTTCGTTTGAAAAAATATTCACATCGTCGCGCGCGCGTTGAACAAACGACGGAAACTTGCTGTTACTGGTTACAATGAAATCCTCTTAAATCGCTTCGAAGGCCTCGAAAGTAGGTGATCCAGCATTCTAGGAGCATATTTCTAAAACTTCGAAAACAATGAGTAAACTCGATGAAGGCAAATCAAGATTTAATCAAGGTGGGCTACACAGATTGGCGTTGAAAATCGTGCAACGTTCGATTAATGATCTTTCTTGCATCTCCCAGCTATAGTCACTTCATATGTAACCATCAAACAATTTCAATCGATGAGTAAGATTAGAGAGTCTCTTTAAGTAAGGCTCTTTAGGTAAGATAAATTGTTATCTACCACTTCTTAAGTCATCTTTATGCAACATCTCAACAATCAATCATTTAAGCATCTTACTAAAATTTTCCGCAAATATGTAAAAAATTTGATGTAATCAATTAACTACAATTATTATAAACATGTGCGTGTTAACATTAATATTTGAATTTAATTATAATTACTATATTTTTAGAAGACTATTTTTTTAATGTCTTTATATATACACACACACATATATATATATATATATATATATATATATATATATATATATATAATAAAACAAACAATAATACAAAAGGCCATGAAAAAATGTTTATAACGAAATAAATGATTTAATATAATTTAAATTTATAGAAAAATAATTACTAAAAGCAATCAGAATTTTTGACAAATGTTGTTTACTCTTTACTCATATTTATAATATCCTCTTAACTATTAAAATGAAACACAATGTAGAAAGTGCAAAACTGCAAAGTCACATTGCAACCAAGTAAAAAAAAAATTAATAATCAAACACGAAGAAAATCGATAATCTACTCGAAAGAATAAGTTCTTCTATATTAATTCATTGAGCCATAACTATTTTTTTAAAATCATGTTATCATTTAATTAGTACATTAATTTGTTTGAAATATTAATATAATATATAAATATTATAATTAGTATTTCGCAGGCCAACTTATTATCTACTTTCGCATTTTTTACATATATCATAGTAATTATTTAATTTATGAATAAAAGAAAAATATTCTCGACGATCACAGATTGTTTTAATACAATCTGTTCACAAGCGATTTACAGATGCACGAGACTTTCTTATGTTTATTTACATAGAGAAATCTCTGATAAAAGGCGAGAAGGGGCAATCTTAATTTCCAAGAGAATTCAAAGACTGAAGCGCATTCGCGCACAAAGAAGTTTGAGTTTGGAATAATAACTATGCCCGTCAGTTATCTCGTAATTCATCGGCGAATTCTTCTGGAACGATGTGACGCGTCAGATCAAAAACTGCACATTAGTTCTACGAATGCTTTGCTTTTGTATTCCGATTGCATATTCAGCATTTTAAAATACGTGCCCCTTAACATTAAACGTGATGTTTCTGAATAAATAGAACTTAAAACTCTGGATACATTCTGTGATAAATTTATGATATGTATAATTTTAGCTCTCACCATTCATTTAACATTAAATCGCACAATTTTGAATTTTATCTGATATTGTGAGTATTCAAAATATATTTAGATATATTCGTTATTTCGGATGTATCGTATACAACGATTTAAAATCAGACAGCTGTGTTTAGCATTAAACGTACAGTAAGAACACTCTCTTTATATGCACTCTAAATGTAGAATCAATGTTTGGTGACAAGCGTGCTTACACACACATGTAAATTACGGATGCTACATTTAAAAGATACACTTTTGTTGTATCATGCTTGCATCGTACTGCGCAAAGATGACCTTGCTTCAGCTTTAGAACTCCAACTTAAATCTCGATATCAAAAAAAATGTGAACAAATAGGTCTGCAAAAATGTGAGCAAAAAGGTCTGCAAAAATTGCAGCAGAAATTCCTGTCTTTAATTGGCAATTCTTTTATTTCTCTGTATGAAATTAGTGTGAATAAAAGTTATTTTTATTTTTAGTTACAATTATTTTTTTCTTTAATGTGTTAAATAGGTAAATTAAATAATATGTAAACATTAATGAAAAACTTTAACTTACAATCATTATCTTTTCAAACAATTAAAACACGGTATATACACATGTATAATTCGTTTCAAATTTTTCTATCATAAAGAAATTAAAAAGAAATGCATTTTTCATAGATATATAAAAAGTGAAAATTTTCTTGAACAAGTTTCAAATATCAAATGCGATTTTTTTCAAAAATTCCTTAAAAAATCTAATTTTAAAAACACACTAATTTATTATTGCAAAATATTCACAGTGATTAATACAATAGATCAATTATATTATATACATGAATAATTAGTGTCATGATAAAACAAAATATTGATACAACACACTACATCTTCTCATTTATTCTAATGAGATCATGTGTAAAATATCAGCTTCATAAGAGAAGCTTCTTCTTTTTTATCAAAAAAAGAAAAAAAAGAAATGATGAGGCCGTAAGTTTAAAAACGTCTCTCAGAAAGCTGAGGCCGGAAGTAAAATAAAGGAAAACATCGCGAATGTAGACGTCGGGGATGCCACGTGAAGCTGTGGCTATTTTCTACAAGAGGGCCAAGCTCTTTCTTCAGTAAACTCATCGCTTTCCCGCCCTCTCTTCTGTCACGACCCTTTCGATTACTACGAAGCTGCTTACCTCACGCTATAGGATCTTCCCGGTTTGGAGGTCATTGCACTGCGGCGGGTGGTTGTGGCGGGATGGTCGGTGGCGGCGAATCGATTTTCCATGACGGCGACGTGATGTCGCTCGTTGGAAAATGTCTCTCTCCTCGTTTTTCTCCTCGCTGCGTCTATCGTTGCTTCTCACGTGATTACAACAAGAATTTCGCTACAAGACCGAAGGAAGCATCCTCTTCAAGATGCAGGTCGATCGATACTTCGCAAATATCTCTACAGTCACGTCTTCGAGCTTGCACCCTTTAAATTGCACTTTGTAGCCCATGCACGTAATCTCTTCAAGTTGACTCGAAGTTATCTTTAAGATATCTTATGGAAAAGAAATTTAGAAATGTTGACATCGACGGCATTATCCTGATCTCAGCAAATACATACGGCGTGTGAATCTTTTGATGCAAATCACAATTTATCATTGAATGATCCGGAACTAAAAATAAGAGAGGAACGAGTCTCTTCCTAAAATCAGTAATTTTTCGTGTCACGAAGAATCGTAAGGTGAATTCATAAAGTGTCCTACCAATGCCGGCTTGATATACGTAAACAGTTTTCACAGTAGTAATCAATGTCACGGTAATTGTGGTGCTTCTATTTGTATGAGACGTTATAGTTGGCTGATGTTCATTCAAGCGTGTTTATTTGTACTTCTTTCTCATAGTTTTTCAATGGCTCTTTCATCTTCTTTTTGCTTTAGGTTTGTATCGCGGTTGTTACGGTTCCACTTCGTGATTCCAAAAAAAATTCTGAAGCGACTGATCTATACAAAATCTTTACTATACTGTATATCTCAATTGTTTAACTTGCAGATAAAAGGATTCACGTGACTGTGATGAATCGGTCGGTTCCGATCTCTTCAACAATTGTCGCGGTCTTGTTAAAAATTCTTTATACCCTGAAAACACCTTTGTTTTCCAAGTTCGCAATGAGCTTTAGATCCTCATATAAATGCGTAAAATCTTCGGTTATTATATCTTCGAGGCTATTATATCGTTGACAATAAACAAGATTTAATGGAATTGCAAAAGTAAAATTATTAAAGATTTCCGCAAAAACTTTCAATCAACAATTACAATACACGTCCTCGTGTAAAACAGTTAATATAATTGTGTATAAATCACATATACTGTAAACACGTAACTTTTTCATAGTATAAAAATTATTCTTTGCACCATACAGTAAGGTTTTAATATTAAACACTCCACGATAAACATTCCGAAATTAATTGTTACGTTTCATTTACGTGATTATAACTTCTTCAGCATCCATGGACAGAATGAAGTATGAACAGGCTCATTCCGATGTCGAGGGGAGAAATTCGTAGTGCCAAGGGGTGACTCTCATATGCCATGCGGTAGCGTCGCATTCGTTACTGCAATTCAATGCAACCACCGTGGCTACACTACGTGGCTTGCTTCTATCGACCGTATCGCACTGCGACGAGGAATCGGACTGGTCGCCGAGCCGCGTGCCGCGCAGGTTTCATAAGTACTTGCGCGCGCGCACGCTCAAGCACAGGTGGGGCTGAATTAGATGCTAGTAAATAATGTTATTTTTCATTTAACATTTTTCCTTCAAGATCTTTTTCCGTGTTAATTTTTAAAATATAAATGATAATTAAATTTTCTTTCTTTAATAGAAAAATATAGGAGATAAGACATACACACACACACACACACACACACACACACACAGAAATATTTGTATAATTTGTATAATTAGTAAATACTTATAAATGCACAATACTTTAATAAATTTATTAAAAAAATAATTTTGAAAGAATAAAATGATAAAATATAAATTAATTCCTAAAGACTCCTTAATGATACAAAATGATATTTATAAAAAATTATTACAATTTAGTATTCTTTATTAATAAACACATCTATAAACTTTTGAAATATTCGCATTAAATTTTATCTGTATTAAATATTATAACAAAATAATAAATTTCAAAAACACTATTTCTGCGGTGTGTTTAGAATTATTGCAATAATTTTATCTTTATTTTTTCCGACAAAATTAACGAATTAAATCTGAATTTTTAATATGCATTTTGAAATGTTTTTAAAATACTAATAATAACTAAATCTAATAATATTTCATCAATATCTTTTTTCAAAAATAAAATAGACGAATTAAATTTAAACAAAGCTCTGACAATTTTAACAGACCATTCTTATTATCTTACATAATTTGCAATGTCATCCTTTCATCGTACATTCCTCCAGTCTGCACATGCAGTCTTATCGCCGGATCCGTAACATCAAGCTCATTGAGGGCTGACCAATTAAGAGTCGCACGCAACGGATCATTGCCCGGACCTCGTCGGGCAGATATTTTATCTATCTCAATCGATTTCCGTTTTAATCCACTCTCACGAGACTACGAGTTGTATACAGCTCGTTTTACGACTATTAATTACGAACAGAGGAATAGTCCGAATCGTTCCAATGAGAAACAATTATAATGCACGCAATAACAATTAATGTCTGCATCCTCCTCGTATTAAGATTTGTGGACATTAGTATGGCAATATTTAATTACGATCCGTGGCGATACATAAACGCTTATTACTATTAGGTAAGGAGAGAGATCACACTAAATGAATGTCACGTTATAATTGCATCATGATCATCAGAAATCTGAAATCCGTCACATTGCATTTAAAACATGAAATCATTACAAAAATTAATTGCAATTTCTGTAATGTATTTATTAATTTTCACTCACAGGAATTCTTACTTTTGCGCAAACATTAATATTTACATTGCTCCCCCCTTTTTTCTAAAGTAAATACTTTAAACAACAAAAACAATTATAATCGATTTTTATTTAAAATAACATTTGATTCTTAATCGATTTCTTTTGTATCTTTTTATAACAATAACAAAGAAAAAAAAACAAAAAGAAGATTATATAATAATTATTCCTCTGTTAATTCTTAATACTAATAAATATAGACATTTAAATTTTTCTTTTATATATTCAAATTCTTATATCTCAGATATTATAATAAATAAGAATGAAAAATCCGCTGAACGGAGAAGCACGATTCAATATACATGAATTATAACTCACATAAATTTCCATGTCGAGTTGTTGCAATATATGCGAGCTTGAAGTCTACGGAAAAGCATGATACATGTTTGCTCGTGCGGCAGGACCTGTCGCAAATAATCCTGACAATATATAGGCGACGATTTTGCGGGCCGAGTATTCTAAATCGCGTGCAATGGACGACGCGACGGTATGCGCCGAAAACAGCGTTGCCGACACGAAATTATGTGGAATGTTTCACGAATGAATTTCTAAGACCCCGAAGAGATCTCTCCCTCTAACTAGCGGCTTGTGGCGTCAAGTTATTCCAGCTCAAGGGAACAGGGCACGTCGCATAGAGAACTCACAACATGTGCAAGTTGTCGAGAAAGGTTGGTTAACGGTACGTATAAATTGCTTCGAAAGATAATACTTACACAATGGGTTTACTATTTAATTGAAAATATTTGTATAAATATTTTTATAAATAATTAAAAACTAGAAATGAGGAAGAGAGTTATATAAGTGAAACTTTACAAAATAAGATTTTTATGTAATTTTATATAATTTTATTTAATTTATGTCAATATTTTATCCATCCATATTTAAATGCTAAGAAGTTACAATTTCTGATTTATAATTTTGTAAAAATAAATCATGTATTGGTAAAATTGAGATTTTATAAAATAATGGTGTCGTGTGCAATTAAAATATATGTAGCTTCATTTAGATAAAAAAATTATCTTTTCTTTACTTAATTATTCTTTAATTATTTATTTAATCATTTAATTAAAGAATAATTAAATGATTTAAATAAATAACATTGAAAACTAATAAAATAATTGAATAAATTAATTTTTTAATTTAGCATTATTGTACGATAGAGTCAAATAAAATTATCCTTATCTTATCAAAAAATAGAGAGGGTTAAACTTTCATAGTAAACAAACTTGAGACTGATGATATGCAGTTCTATATACATATGTTATGAATTAAATTTATGAGAGTTTGGAATATTTGGACGTCAGTTTTCTTCATATGCAATGACGATAAGTTTCCTGTATTGGTTGCGAAGCAAGTGAAGTGCCTACCTTGTGATCATTATAAATTACGCGTAATGATACTAAACTGAAAACGGCACACTCGAGCTGAAACTGTGCGGAATGTTGTCACAGATTGCTAAGAGTATTTCCTTGAATTATAGCGGCAGTATTCCCTTTAGCCATTTCTTGTAAAGCTAATTGAATTTTAACATACCTATATTCTTCATTTATTGTTAGAATTACTTCTTCTCGCGTGCTACACGTGAATAAACTTAGATCAATCTTAATAAATCATATTATATTCTCACACATTCTTTCGCATTTTTTATGAAGAAAATTTATAGAAAATTTTATAGAAAATTTACTATATAGAATTATGATTTCTATAAACAGTGCCCACCGTCATTCTTTGTTATACGTTTATTGATCGGTCGGTTTCTATGACAATTATGAGCGAAATATATTCCTGTTCGAATTTTTTTTTCATATAAAAATTCATTCATTGTATACGTTTTAGTTTTATTTATTTTTTTTTTTTTTGAAGAACATATTGTTTGAATATTAAAAAATTTTTATTAACTCAAGTAATTTATTTTAATGTTAATTATAAATACTTTTGCTTCATGAATTCTAAAGCCATTATTTAAAAAATTGTTAACATTTTCCTCTCTCTAAAAATAATATGTCTTTTTGCAAGAATTATTGTATAATATCTTTATATATATATATATA